CTGTGGGGGGGAGCAGAGCCACAGTCCATGTGGGCAGGGTGTGTGGCAGCTCCCTTCCCCCACAGGCTCCATCCAGAGGGGGAGGTTTGCCCTGTCCCGTGCTGCTCTGGCTCTGCTGACACCCCTGCCCTCCACAGGTGGGCGAGATCAGCCGGCTGCTGCCCCCCGCACGGCCCGGGAAAGACGAGCTGCTGCTGCTCGCCCTCAGGGTGAGGATCCTGTGGCTCTTCGACAGACTGCGTGGATGCCTCAGCTTCCCTTCTAATGAGCAACGGGACAAAATTAAGCCTCAAGGATACCTTACCGGACTGACTTCAAAGATCTTGCAGCTTTGCACAACTTCTGACATAAGTGATGAGCTACACAGCTGGGTCAGGGCAACAGTAAATGCTCCAGTCTGAGCAGCCCGTGCGTCAGTGCCTCGCTCCCGAGCAACCCCTCTGCTGTCTCCTGGCAGAAACCAACCCAGGCTGAAAGTCATTTCAGCCTGTGGCTGTGGCAGAAAGACAAAAGCAAACAGAGCCCAGCTAAGTGACAGCCTGTGACAGGTGCACGGGGTTTGCTCAGGCCAGCAGCTGGGCCTGCTGCAGGTACCAGACACAGCTGGTCCCCAAAAAGCCCAGTTTGTCCCAGGCAGTCAAAGGTCACTGTCCTGGTGATGTCTGCAAGGATGCTGGGGACAGAGGCTGCTGGGTCAGCCTGCAAAGCAGGTGGGTGAGGAGCAGTCCCTGGCAGCAGCTCATGGGTGGTGGTGCCATGCCAAGGCTCTGCTGTACCAGGCACTGGTGCTTCCCTCCCAGGGTGGGTTGGGTGGCCATGGGAGCAGCATGGGTGATGTGGTGGGCACAGACTCCTCATGAACTAGGTGCTGCAGGCTGGCCCCCACCCCTGCTCCCAATGGTTTGGATGTTTGAAGCCAGGGGCTTCACCTGGCCCTTTGTCCTGCACCTGAGCAGCTTTGCAAGGTGGCTCCGGATGTCTTTGCTGTACAGGGCGTAGATGAGGGGGTTGATGAGTGAGTTGGTCTCACCCAACAGGAACAAGGCATCCTTGAGTGGGCCGGCCAGGCTGCAGGAGCTGCAGGCAGCCTGCACGATGCCCCCCACCAGGTAGGGGCCCCAGGAGAGGCTGAAGCCAACCAGGATGAGCAGCACGGTCCGCAGCGCCTTGAGGTGCGGCCGGCGGGCGCAGATGTGCCGGAGCCGCGCGTGCTGCCGGCAGGCGACGCGGCCCACCCAGGCGTGCAGGCCCACCAGCACCAGCAGGGACGGGGCGAAGACGCCGAAGCAGAGAGTGTAGAGGTACTCGCTCTTGGCCACGTACAGGAGCCCGCAGTAACCCGTGTAGTTGCCTTGCTGGAGGGAGGGCAGGATCAGGGGCAGGTGCCCAAAAAGGAGGGAGATCATCCAGAGGACAACCAGGGAGAGGACCAGGGGTGTTCTGCTCAGGAGGGTGGGATAGGAGAGCGGCAGCGTCACCGCCAGGTACCTGTCCAGGGAGATGAGGAGCAGGGTCAGGATGGAGCCGATGCAAGGTGTCATGCTCACGGCCACGTGCAGCAGGCAGAAGGACTTGTTGTGGCTAAAGCCCCCGTCAAGGATGTCGTCCAGCGCCTCGGGGATGCACATCACGCCCACCAGCAGGTCGGCAGTGGCCAGGTTGAGTATGTAGGCATAGCTGGTGCTTGGCTGCCTCCTCATCAGCTGGCAGACGGCCACCATCACCAGCAGGTTGGCTGGGAGGATGAGGCAGCTCAGGAGGGAGTGCAGCACTGCGCACAGGAGCTTGACCATCTTCCCAGGCGAGGAGGGTGGAAAGGGGTGCCCAAGGAAAGTTGGCCCCCGCGTGGAAAAACGCCACCATGAGGTGACCTGTAGCTGAGCTGAGGGATGGGACAGAAGTGCCTCAGACCTTCCAGCTGCAGACTGAGGCCAGGAGTGCCCAAGTCAGTCCTTTAAGGGACACTTTGTCCATGCCAGGAGACCTCTGGGACCTTCCCAGCTGCTGTGTGTTGCTGATGGTTTTTCCAGGGCCTTTGCCCTCTCTCCTACCGTCCGATTTTGCCTGCAGGGATGCTCCAAGATACAGATCCAGAGTCCCCTCCTGCACTCAGCAGGAGCAGTGCAGTCCCCACGGCTGGCAGGGCAGCCCCAGAGCTCCGTTCCTCATCGCAGCTTCACCAAAGCCCAGCAGCAGCCTGCGGGACGGGGATGCTCCTCCCAGCCAGCACCGCCCCCGCCCCGCACCGCGCGGGGACAACCCCGCTCCTCGGGCACTGCCTCCTGGAACAGGGGGTGCGGGGCCACGGGCTGTGCCAGGACACCTCACCGCCTCCAGCCCAGGGAAAGGGGGAACGGCAAAGGAAGCACTTCCTCGGGACCAGGGCAGCCAAGGCACGGCCGGGCAGAGCCAGTTTTTCCTCCTTCCCTCACCTGCACCCAGCTCACAACAGCTCCACCAGACCTCTCACCTACCCTTGTCTAACAAACCAAGATCAACACACTCGAGCTTGCCCCTCAGATTCATTATTTAATATCCATTTTGCACATGGGTGAAGTCAACCAAGCGCTCAAACAGGGCTTTTTTGGATAAACAGGTCTTTGCACCTTCATTTCAGAATTAGAGAGACTCATTCAGGATTACTGAGTACACAGAAAGCAGAAGGGCCCAGAAAGCCCCATGCTGGGTATCCCTGGGAGCTGGAGGGTGAATGGGAAGGAGCATGTGCTCCTCCTGGCACTGCTGGAAGCTCCAGAGCTCAGGACACCTGTGAGCCCCAACCCCCTAGCTGGGCTGAAGCTTCACTTTTGGAAGCACCCATCTCAGACCAGAACAGTTCTGATTGAAGCACCACAAACACTGAGCCATCAGCTGGTGTTTGGCTTTGATTTATAGGAAGGCTGGAAGGTTTCACTGTCTTTAATGACCATCAAGGTTCTTTATTTCCATTTTATTGTTGTTTTTCCGTTTGGATATGCTTTATGAACAGCGACCGTGGGGCTTGGTGCAGCCCATAAAAACAACCCTGCTCAGTGCACCTGACAACCCAGAGCAATTACAGACATGACAAAAACACAGCCTGTGTCCTGCCAAGGAAAAAGCTTCCGGTGCACTTAAGGGACATCAGCAAAGGTTCTCACACACACAACTCCAACACACCCATAAACCATCTCACTCAGATGGAAGAGGAACAGTGGGCGCAGCAAGAACATCCTGGTCACTCGGGTGACACTGCCAACAGCTCATGGAAACTCAGCCTAGCAACACATCTGTGCATGGGATTCCTGTCTGATTTGTCTGAAGTATACAATTAATGAGAAACTAAACCTGAAAATCTTGGTTCATCTATTTCAGAAGAGAAGGCATGAGTTGCCTAAAGAGATTCTTTCAGCACAGGTACACAGCAGCCTTGAAGCCCTTGTGTGTTTGATGGTTGGGATGAGTAACACCTTGATCAACTAGGATCAACTCTTCCCTCAGGTGGGTGAGAACTGTGGTTACCCAGAACACTTCAACATCAGTTCCTAAAGGCCTGGGGAGGGACAAGGGCAACTCCTACAAACTCTGACAGCTGCCTTTGTCATGGCAGATTCCCTTCCTCATCCGCTATACTGTCCCACCAGAGGAACAACCCTCCCTCACCTCCCCATCCAGAGGTAATGTTTGATAACAAGGACCCAGGAAGAACTTTATCTAGTTTACACAGGGAATGAAACCCTGGAGCAGAAATTGGATTGAGGCAGATGCTGCCAGGACTGAGCCTCCCCACAGGGGCTCTGCCTGGAGCACGCCGCAGTCAGGATAAATGGTGCAGAGGAACTGCAGGCTGGAGGCTGCAGCTCACCCCCACAAGAGAAGCCAACCAGAGGAAAATTCCCAGCCCTGGCAGGAGAGGGGCACCTGAGATCTGGCTCTACCCTGGTGACCTCCCCTGCACAAACAGCACCTGAAGGCTCAGGGAGCAGGACCTGGGCAGGTGCCCGGGACACGCCGCGGCTCTGCTGGGGCCTGCCAAGGCCTCAAACAAGACAGACACAAGGTGAGTGACTTGGGAAAGTAGGCTTTTTATGCATTTTTCAATTACAACTCTTAGAATATCCATCAGTGACTCAAACAAGGTACTTCACACGGTAGATGAGAACTCTTTATTTAAATTAACTTTCTTGGTTTCTGCTTAGGACAGTAGGAAGGCTCAGCTTGTCATCTCTTCAGAATGGTCAAGGACAAACCCCCCGGGGTTGGCCAACACAATTGAAAGAGTAGCTGATCTTAATTTTTACTGAAGTCACAAAATGATATAACTACTCTGCATACAATTTTGCTTATATAATTTAGTATATAATGCACTGTTCAACTCTGCCATATATTTTGAAAAATATACAAACCTGCTTTAACCACATTAGGGATATTTGATAGACAGCTGTCAACTACTTAACAGTTTAGGATGATATCAGACACTCCTAGAACTTCCTGTTAAACTACAAAGAGAACACAAATTCATATAAAATACAACAGATTAAACAAACTTCTTTTTTTTTTTTTTCTGAGGAAAAAATAGATAACTCAATCTGCCATCGTGTGAAACATGAATATAAAATAAGTTACAATTAGTAATGCCTGCATTGCTGAGCTATGAACTGGTCGGATGACATCTTAAAAAAACTATACAGTATTATTGCACTCCATGACTGTGCAGTATCTGGAACAGCCAGCACTGAAAGGGGTCTGGCATTAAGTTTATTTTCAGGAGGCAGAGCACGGCAGCCAGAGAAGCATCCAGTCTGCACCAACAGCTTGCTGTCTTCAGTACAGGCCTTCATGGGTCTGCGCCGCGCTGCCTTGAACACCCTTAGTGCCTGTGGGGGGACGCGCATGTGAGGGCGGCAGCGGCTTGAGCGGCAGGAGCCTCCTGCAGCACAGCCAGGGACCAGGAGGGACCATGGGCCCAGAGTTTGGAAAGCCCTGGGTGACATGGGAATTGGTTTGTCATAAAATGAATGAGCATGGATGCTCCCAACAGCCAAGGTGTCTGCAGGTTAAAGCAGCACAGGACACAGATGAGAGCAAGGAAACGTTCTGCTTTCCAGGGTATGCAATTCAACCAGGTTACAAGTTAAAGAGAAATCCTCTGCACAGACTATTGTAAAGCCTGTAATGCAGTGTTTTCTGATCTCTGCACAATACAGATCACTAGCTTAAGGCCTTCTGCACCCAGTAACACAGCTTTTCCTGCCCAAAGGACTGGCAGGTTCCACTTCTGAAACAGGCAAACAAAGCCCAAACCACCACCTCCTGCCAAAGCAGTTATCTGTAAAATCATGTGTGTCAACAAGGGGTCATGGCTTAAAACTGGAGGGACATTCAGGTTAGACGTTAGGAAGACATTACTTGCTGTGAGGGTGGTGAGACACTGGAACATGCTGCCCAGGGAAGCTGTGGCTGCCCCACCCCTGGAAGTGTTGAAGGGCAGGTGGGATGGGGCTCGGAGCAACCTGGGCTGGTGGGAGGTGTCCCTGCCCATGCAGGGGTTGGAACTCTTTAAGGTCCCTTCCAACCCAAACCATTCTATGATTCTATGAATGTACTTTATGTCACAAGAGCTTGTTCTCCAGTAAATCACTTAAACAAATACAGGTTAAATGTTAAATCACCAACATGCAGAGTCAACAGACATCTGGTGCCTGGAGCAAGACTTACAAGAAGTTTCAGTGCTGATCGATGGGGCTATGATCGATGATGGGGCATGGACTCCATGTGCACATTGAGCTTCATTTCGTTATCAAGAATTTGTACAAGCTGCTGCATGGAAGGAAGGTGGCCAGACTCCAGCTTAGACCACACTGGAACATCTACCCAAGAACACATGGAGAAAAGCACCATTATACTGACAAAGTCAGAAGACATGCAGGGCTCATTTCAAGAAAAGAATTACAGTATCTAGGAAGCCATGCAAGTTGGTGCTCTTTTATAGTGAGCAAAATACCTGGATCAACAACACTTCAAACATCTGGCTATACTAAAGCCCAGTCAAGAGTCTAATGCTTCCATGTAGAAGTACATTATAGGGATTTAGAGGTTCAAAATATCCCTTGACAGAATGGCTAAAGTTAGATCAGTGAGTGGCAGAAGAGCACACCCAGTTTTTAAACCATCGCTGTGAAACTTGCAGGTCTCATTAGTCTTCATGTCATTCTGCCCGACATGTAAGAGTGGCCCTCAGAAGCTCTGCTTACCAAGATCTGCCTTGGAAGTGACCACCCAAAGTAGCTGCAACTGTTATTTTCCCCCCAGAAATAGAAAAGGCAGCACAGTGCATGAACACTTCAGGGTAAACACAACCTTTGTTTCTGATGCTGACCAATACTTACACCCTCAAACACCTCTCACTGCTGTAGCACTTCATGAACCCACACAACTGCTGTCATCTACATCAGACAAAACCCAGGCTGGAGCCATGTTGCCCCAACACATAAACCAGAAAATTCCCCAAGTCAGGATATAGCTGCTCAGCCCCAGGAAGGCTTTGCTGCCAGTTCCAACCTGAGATCTGGGACCAGAAGGGCATGGAGTTCAGCTGCATTGATGCAATGCAGTCAGCCTTCAAGAGGTTCTGCAGTCTGTGACCTGACTGAGAAACTGCTGTACTGAAATGCATCCTGCACAGTCACGTACTGAGGTTAGAAAGCACAGAGCTACATTACACACTTGTACCTAGAGCTTGGAAGGTTCTCTACTCCATCAAGTTTACATGCACTTTATACCATTATTTGAAGGCAGAAGGTCCACAGACTCTTAACCTGAAAAATCAGTGTTGCTGCTCACTGGTACTGAAAATCTGGGAACAGCAATGAATTTAATAGGATTCCCAGGCTTTTAAACCACATTACAAAGCAGAATAGGGAAAGTATCTAATTAACTGGAGAGTAGTTAATCATCTGTAGATCATTTCTTACTTAATGCACATCACATACAAAGGAAGAACATAATACAGTCACTTCAAGTGACCAAGCAAGCCTCTGAACATGTTTTTACAAAGCCACTGTAAAATGTTACTGACATCTGCATAAACTGCTTTATAAGACCTCTATGATTTTTGTTATTTATGATGATACGTAACATCTGAAGTTTCAAAATGGATGGCACCACCACATTCTGAAACACAGCACATGCTACTGACATCTGCATAAACTGCTTTATAAGACCTCTATGATTTTTGTTACTTATGATGATATGTAACATCTGAAGTTTCAAAATGGATGGCAGTTACCACACACCACCACATTCTGAAACACAGCACATTTCCTAACATAAAAGCTCTGCCAAAGCCATGTGCACACACAGCACAACGTGATTCCCTTAGTTCCCACTCACCGTTCAAAGTGATTTCAAACGCCCCTGTTGACATACACTGGTTCTCAATCATGTTGCTCAGGAAGAAGACCATCATACAAGCATAAACCTGGAATAGAACAGAGAATCTCAGACACTTCAGCTGTCCGAGCCACAGCTATTCACTCTTAATAAGCACAGAAGTTCTTAAGTGTCACTGAACACCCCCCTGCACTTCATCAAGCAATCTTCCAACCACAGACATCTTCCTCTCCTCCTCTTTGTAAAGACTGTGCGCTCCTTTCCCTCGACTGTTCAGCAGAATAAATCTGGAATAAGGTTACTATAAATCCAAGTAGAACAGTATTAATCTGTTAGCACATCAGTGCTGACTCACAGGGATATTCATGCCACAAGGCACAGTCTGTAATGCCCAAGTGTGTGCTGCAAAAACACCCACACCATTTCTACTTGATTTTTCAAACCACCACCTAATTGCATGCCCACTCTAATGACTCTGGTGAAAGCAACTGCAAAGTAGCTATCATGTAACAGAGGAAGCTGTAATTTTAACACCAATGATACTGGCTGGAAACTCTACTCTTGAGCCCTAAAAAATAAATTAAAAAATCTTGAATTATCTTTGACAGGGTCATTAACCCCAGCTGTGCTTCTGCAGCACCACTGGCTTGGAAAAACAGTGAGAATCAAATCTGGGTCTGTCAAAACCAAGAAGCACTGCTACCAGGAGTTATCTCACTACTGCAAAATTCTCAGGTGTGTTTAGTTACAGGAGCCTGAAAGTTTGGTTCAGGCTGCAGTGTACAAAGTTAAATCAGTAAGCATTGTGAAGGACTCCTGGAGCACTCTCACAAAGCTGTTCTAAAACTGTTTTTTCAAAATCAAAGAAGCAAGTATGCTGTTTACCTTATTTTCTTGGCCCCACTGCCAGATGCTTGGAGCTTGCATGCCAAAGAAAGCAAATGGATCCTTGCCAACGATTATTAAGCCTATTAATACCAGTTTGAAGACAGAGAGGAAGGATGCTACGTGCCTGTCAAAGACATAAACAAAAGTGAGTTAGAAGATTCACAGGTATCACCTCACCACAACATAGCCATAACTCACTTATTTAGAAATTCTGACAGTGCACAACCAACTGTTTTAGAAGAAATACCAAACTTTTCCATTAGGTAACCTTGCTGTAAAATAACCCAATCAAAACAGCACCACACGTTAACAAACCCACATGTCCCCAGCAGGACACCATCCCTGCACACCACCTACACAGGTTATTTTTTTTTCCTAAGCAGACCTCAAACAGAAATTTGCTTTCAACTTACAGATGCCTCAACTGGACAATACATTCAGTTTCCTAGAGAAGATGTTCCATATTCTATAGGTTTAATTGACATGCACCACTTCCTCATAAAACATTTTTCCAGCAGATGCAGAAAACATTCCAGTTCTCTGTAACAACTTATCCTATAGCCTATAGCAAATGAACACTGAGGTATTCAATACTGAACTGTAGTACATTGTAAATATTGCAGTAATTAGGTCAATAAACAGTTCAAAAGCCACCACACTAACCATAGTGTCACTCTTTTAACATTTACACAATGGTTTAAATGACAGCAATAACATTTTTATTTTCCAAATCTCTTTGGGCTTCTCCCCAAAATGTAGTTCAGGACAACCTGTAGTCTCTCTGATGAGGTTAGCCCTCCCCTGATCTAAAAACAAACTCTTCCCTCCTCTGCAACCTGAACCTATTTGCAGGTACCTGTCACTTAAGTGCACAACACGGAGCAACAAATGTGAATTTGTTCAGATACATCATGAAGGCAAGATGAAAAAATCTGCTGTGAAAACAGGTGAACTTACTATTTGTTTTAGGCTGAAACACAACAGACCTCATACAGATACTCAGATGGTAAGATCTGTGTGGAAAACTAAGGTGGGAAGGGAGAGAATAAACTAAGAGGTACTAAGAAAGGGAGAGGATAAACAAGAAGTAAACATAATGGGGGAAAAAAAAACTTAAATAATATTGAAAAGGGAATTAAGTGTAACTGCAGATCTTGACCACTGACCATGCTGACCTTATGTACTGGAAAAGCCAGTCCTGCTAGTCGTTTGCTTACCTATATATAGGTTGAGGAAGGTAGTTCTCCCCTTCAATCCGGATGTCTGGGTACCGCTGGCTGATAACCCGCATGTACTCCTCAAACACCCGCCTGTATCCTCAGGAGACACTGCACAGACAGGGACTGTCAGCAAAACTGGAGCACTGCACATCAACGGGCTGCTAACCTGCCACGCCTGCGCTGCTCCTGCTCTGCTCACATTAAAACAAAACTAAAATGCAAGAGAAAACTGACCTCCAGCCAAGGCCCACGCCAGACGTGCTGACACTGCCCGGGCACCTGGGCTCACACAGGCTTGTTTTCATGTCCCAGCACTGGCACAACCCACCCATAAAGCCTCTGAGCAGGGAATTACTTGTTTCCCCATAAAAGGCTGCTAGGTTAGAAAGTCAGCAAAGTATCACCTTGCTGTGTCCAAAAAAGCTTCCCAAAACCCAGTTTTAACTCGTCACTACTTAGATCCAGTCTTCCTGGGACAGGTGACATCGCCCTGGTCACTCCTGTGTGCAGATGACTGGACTACGGGCAGCAGTTAAACATTACAGAGCTGCACAGGCTCTCCAGCTCCTCTGGACCGACACAACAACGGCC